GTGCTGATAATAACAAGGTCAAGGGTTCAGATTCCCATACCTGCCAGCTGCCAAAAAATATATATATTGCTAAATATCATTGGTGCTAACAATGGCATTGCTTTAAAAGCATATTTTACCTTTCTGTGGAGTGTTGTTATCAAGAAATTTTAAAAATTTAATTATTTAGCACACAGATTATTTCCATCCATATGTTTTATTCAAAATAAAATGTGTGCATTCTGTAACATAACCATAGTTCCCCAAGGATGCTTTCTAATGTGGATTTCCCGAAGAAATAATCCCCCCGGCAGTGTTGATAACTGCCTCAATCCTTGGGGTGATCTTGACCCCATGAAAATTTGTAGTGTCAGACTTTTCTTCCTTCTAGCTCCTTGGGGCATTAGGCAGCAGTGGCATCTGTATTTCATGAAAGAGACAAACTTTTATCTCTTTACTTCTATTAAGGAATAGTATTACAAGAAACAAGAACCATTCTACCATGATGACTAGGCAAATTATGATAAATCTACTTGATATTGTTACATTGTACGTATCAATAAAATTTTGCTGATAGTATATTATAATTCTTAAATTTGCTTGACTACACAGTCCATAACAAACATTTTGTAGAGCAGTATTCAGTGGAATTTTCTTTACTAAATAATGTTCTGTTCTAAATATGAGAAAAATAGTTTTTATAAGTAATTGTAAAAATTAAGTGAGTTAATACATATAACAGGCTCAGAATAGTGTTTGGCCGAAGATAAATACTCTGTTTTAGCTGTTAATATCATCGCCTAACTATTTGAATTAGGCTTACTAGTGTTCTGTCTGTACCTTGTCCTATTGATTTTTTTCTTTTAATTTTTAGAAGATGAAGAAAATCTTTTTGCATTTTTATTAGAGTAAATTTGTAAATCTATTAAAACTCCTCTCCCCAAGCTTAGTCATCTTTTCAGAGCAGGCAAAGCTCTTCAAAGTATGATTCGCAGGAAGAGTTGTTCATTTATTACTGCTAACTTTTCTACTCTAAAAATGTAGTTTACTTATTGGCCAGGTGCATAGTATTATGCTTATTTAGGTAGCTCAATATTTGTTTTTATCTTAAAAGATAGAATGCTTACAAGTGTTAATACTTAAATTACTACTCATTATTTGTAAGATTGAATACCTATATAATGAATAATAGAGAATATGTATCAAGACTAATAGAATGGCGTTTTGTTTTTTGTATTTTTGTTTTTAGCTGGTAGATAAACTTAATACCAATACTGAAATGGAAGAAGTAATGAATGATTATAACATGGTAAGAAAGTTTGTAAATATAAGCAATAGATCCATGTAAATCATATTCTCCAAAAGAAAGCCTTTGTGTCTGGAAATAGTTTGATAAAACCTTATGGACCTTAGCGGTGGGTATTACTCTGATCCTAAATACCACTATTAAAGTTGAGCTCCTTTACTTGCCCTTTTAAAATTTCTTCCTGTTGATTGGCTCTCCCAAGTGGGTGCTTTAATGTCTCTGTACAAGGCTGTGTTTGAGCTGGTCTCACACTCAGCATTAGTTAGTGCCATCTAATTTCCTTGTATATATATTAGTTTACAATATTTCTGGTTTAATTTTTGCACAAATGGAGCTCAGTACTCAATGGAGATAAACAGCACATTTACATAATTTTTATAAGACAGGGAGAAAAATGAATAGATATGATGCCAGACATAAAACTGACTTTTGATTGGTAAATGGGAATTTGTGTTCAGTCTTCTTAGTTATTTGGCCAAAAACAATAAAATACTTTTTAAATTTTTATTATAAACATTTGGACAAAAATAACATATAACTCATAACTTATTTACTTATATGATCAAAGACTATTCTATTAAAACAAAGAATTTATATAATGACTCCTAAATTTGGAGTTCTAAAATCATGATAATTTAGTAGATTATTCTTAGCCTTAGAACACAGGAGAATTCACAGATTGGAAATTGTATTTTAATGCCAGATGTAAAAAGTAAAAACTTCTTTGTATGTTTTGTCAGTTATTTCAATTAGGTCCAAATTCTAGGCTGCGTATGCACAGGTAGAGTCACTAGGAATACGTAGGTAAAATCCTGAATGATTTAAGAATAAAACTTGTATTGGTTCTAAATTCAGCATATATACTAATCAGATATTTATTGAACACCCAATAAATTCTTGAAGTGCTGTTTATATAAATTAAATTTACATTGGATTACTTGACAGATCACTAAGGAACAATGAATATTTTTGGTGTGAGATTACAATGCCTGTAAAAAAGACTTTCTTTTTATCTGGTGGTGGTGTTTGTTAAATGAAACAATTACTATATGTTTTCTCTTAAACTTTGCATGTGGTGTTAGTATTATTATAATAATCTCTCATTTAGTTCATACCCAGAACAACCTTTAAAGAAAGAGTTTGGTTTAATGTTGTTTTTTCACTAACTTCTGTGTTCACTATTTATTCAGCTCAAAGCTCAAAATGATAGAGAAACACAAAGTATGGATATCATATTTACTGAAAGACAAGCGTAAGTACAACCTATTTGAAAATCAGATTCGTAAGTGAGCTTTATTAGGTAGTTTAACTTGTGAATCATTTCTTATAAATTTTCTTATTTTTCCCTGTTGCCTTTTTTTATTTAAAAAAGTTAAATATTTGCAATACAAATTTTATTGTTTATATATATGTTATCTTCATTTACCTTTAACTAGCTAAATTCTGTACAAAGAAAATTACTACATAGATTATGTAAATAGGATTTCTGCTTCTAGGAGCTGAATATCTAAGATAGGTAAGAACATCTTTATATCTACCATTAGTGATTTTAACCTGGGCTGTTAACTTATATTAAGTATGATGTTTCAGTCCCAGTATAATGAAAGGCACATTATTTGTCAGTAGGCTATTTACATTATTTCATTAACATCGATATTTAATAGTTATGTTAGTAATCTATGTCATACATGTGTGCATCTTTATACGTAATCTGTCTGAAGACTAAATATCAACTAACTTTGACTTTGGTAGTAAAGTGAACTGTGGGATTGGCAGTAATGTCTACAAAGATAATAAGTAGATGTCATGTAGTTAACATAATTATTCTTCGTCAACTTTTTGACCATAATTAAATATTGTCTAAAGCAACACAAACATAAAAGAGGACCTATTTTGTTTTGTCTGTCTGGGTTTTTGGGTTTTTTTTCCACAGCTGGCCTGTACAGGGATCCAAACCCTTGACCTTGAACACACAAGCATATTCTGTCCTAGGAATTTATTAATATTAATCTTCTCAACAGCAAGGATATTAATTAACCCAAATTACTGAAATTTGGTAACACCAAATACACTCTCATGTTACCTGTTCATACACAGTAAGTATTTGATGAAAAATAGGATGTTAAAATACAGTGACAAAACATTTAAAGTCTAAATATAATTTTTCTGTTGATTAAAAACAAGAGTCTCTTTTCTCCCATCCTATCATTTGATGCTGTTGTAAAGTGCTTTCTTAAAAACTGAAAATATTGGCAGTCACTTTCCTTTTACAGAAAAATTCCATTCATGGTGACCATGCTCTTACTAGAAATGTTTCCTTTTTTATTTTATTTTATTTTTATTGTCCTCTTTTTAAACCATTTGGCAAACATTTATCATTTGCCGCATACAGCATATTCTCCTAGATACCTGAAAGAATAAGAAATATATAAACTATAGCACCCCTGAAGACCTTAATGGGTTTAGAACATTTAATTTCTCATTTATTTCATCATTTATCTAGAAAGTTATATCATACCCAGGTCAGATTTATAAATATTATATTTACATGTTTTATTGATATTTAATCCAAAACATAATTTTCAGATTATAAATTTAAGAATGTCATAGATTTTTATGTCTACTTGGTCTATTTGGTCAAGGAAAAAAATTTTTAAATATGGTAATTTGTCCTGAAGATTTCACCAAACAGTTTCAAAGCTATATCTGTATATAATTTTTATATCTGTATATAGTTTTTAATTGAATGTGAGCTGTCCCTTTTAAACATAAATTTAAATTAAGAACAAAAGTTATTTTTATAAACAGCAGGAAGATAAATTTATTTCATGTGTTAACTAAATAGCCAACATCTCAGTAACATAAGAATCCACCTTGACTCCACACATTCAAAGGGACCAAGAAATGTCATGCCCTGAAAGGCAGGTGCAAAAAGCTTCTGTTTTCACTCTCTTCTCTTTTAGTACCTCCATTTAGTGTATTATGACCACCTGGTTTATTACGAGAAAACTATTCATAATAAGTATATCCTCAGTATTCTACTGCAACAATGCTTAGACACCTGGCTTTATTTCAGTTTCGCATGACTGCTTGAAATAATAATTCTCTTCCAATTCTGATATTTACACTTTCTAGTTTGGTATTAGTGAAAATCAGTTGTCCTTTAAAAACATGTGTAATTATAATGTTATACCTATGTTTTTCTTTGTTTAGCAAATATTTATTGAATACCCCATATTCACTGATAACAGGCTCTTGAATATAAGATATTAGATGTAGTAGTCTTTGCTCATTTATAATTATATTTCATTTTACTGCATTTCTCAAGTATTAATATTTGCATCTTGTAATTAAGAAGTGATAGTTTGGCAGAATGATAGATTATTTAGAAAAAGATACCTCATGTTCCTGTAATGATCTCATTCTTAAAATTGAGATTTAAAACAAAGTATAATTGATATTATATATTAAGAAATATTAGGCATAATAAATTTATATACTTTACTGAAAACATGTTTCTATTAACACAAGCAAATATGTACTATAAGTGAGTCAATTCTTCTATTTCACAGGGTCCATCATCCTAAAGTTATTTTCCTTGAGTAGACATTTGAACTGAATTTTTATTGATACAACTTTTAAAGTGACTATTCTACAGATTATGACATAGATCTACATTATTTTAGTCTCTTTTTTCTAAGAAATAATCAAGTACTACACATTTTAAAAGTTTTATTTTAGAGAAATTTGAACATACATTAAAAAAAGAGCATATTATACCCTTATGTACCCATCTCCCATCTCCATCACCTCATATCTATACCTCTTGCCACTGTTCCTTTCCATGTATTATGGTGAAGAAAATCTCTAGACATATTATCTTATCCATAAATATGTTTCAGTGTTTTATAGATATCCTTATTTCAATGAGATGTAAATACACAATTTTCCTATATATGGAAGGTAAAAATTATAGATTTTGCTAGTTTTTTTTTATTGTATGCCATTTTAAGGACTTGAGATTTTGCTACAGTTTTTAATGCCACTGTTTGCATTGATAAGTTGTTAAAATTATGATTGCAGCCAACTGGTTATAAGAAATTGGCAAATAATTTACTTTAGACCCTTCCTACTGCAGTATGAAGGATGGTGTTTTCCAAACTATGTTCTTTAGACTATTATTGTGCTATGAGCTCTTAGTAAGTGTACATCAAAGAAAGGGTTTTGTTGTCAAGTGAGTTTGAAAAATTCTGAATACTTTGCTGTTGAATAATCAGAGAGCAGTTTAGCTTAGCAAAGTCTCAGATAAGTCCTATAGTAAAGAATCTTGTCTCACTTTGTTTAAGCCCAGTGTTTCCTATAATAATTTGACCATGTACCTTTTTCTTTTCTCAGAAGTACTTTTGAATGTCTCTGGAAATTAGTGTTCTATAAAACAATTTGGGAAACATTGCTCTATCTAATGGATCCCAAACAGCCGTCCGTGGACTGCCTGAAGATTTCTCAGCTCCAGCACGTACTCGTTTGAATAAAAATCTCCCAAAGAGAGGCAGAAATACGTATTTTTAAAAACAAGATTCATAGATAATTGTGATGCCCACTTTGGAAGCCACCATGATAGTAAAAGATTTTAAGACTAAAATCTTTATTATTTACTGATTGGAACTTTAGTATAATTTAATACATATTACATCAAATATTTGTGTTAATATGCGAATCTATTTATTTTAGTTAATGAATAATTTATTTTAGGCCTTCTTCTTTCTAGTGCGTACGGTCTCTTGAATACTGCTAAGAATAATACTATCACTGCAGACTAACTATGAAACTTAGCTTCCAGCGATTGTCAGTTACTATATTTGGACCTGCTTGCTCAATTAAATGAGAAAAACATAGTTATATGATATTTATGTATTTTATAATTAATATGAAGGTCTACTAGCTACAGTTTGGTATGTCACATATCAAAATCTCCATGCCTAGGCTGACCAGTTAGCTCAGTTGGTTAGAGCACAGCCTTGTAACACCAAGGTCAAGGGTTCAGATCCCTGTACCAGCCAGCCACCAAAAAAATAGAGAATCTCCATGCCTAAACTGTGAATGGACTGATAACTTTTTTTAAAAAAATCAAACATTGAAAGAAATTAATTTTCTTCACATAATTCATGGGTATCTATATATTTGTCTTCAATAAACCCATCATCATCTACTACAAATGAATGTAATTGTTCAAATACTACTGTAGTGTCTTCGGAGTTTGTATATGGTATATGTGAAAGAGAACTTGGATTTCCAGTAAAACCATCTTCATAGGTTTCTGCTTCATGCTCTTCCAGGCGATGATGATTGTAACTAAGCAGAAGATTATACAATATTGGGCATTTGATAGCAATAAAAATGAGGAGTGAAGTCATCAGTACGGTGACAACAACACCAATAAGAAAAGCCCAACTTTTTCCAAGAGATTCGTGTTCTTAAATGGAATACCGAGAGAGAGAAAGAAAGAATTTGTTAATTTGACAAAAATAAAATAATCATAATTGTATGTCTTAATCCTCCCCAATGTTGGTATTAGAAATGAACATACATTATATTTTTTTAGGCAAAAGTTATTAAGACTACAGTAAATTAAAGATATTTTGTAGTGTAGTGAAATAATACCGTTTTTCCAAATAACTACCTGTCTTTGCAGGTATTGTTACCCATACATCTAAGGCCATTTTTGATTTATACTCATTAAGATTTGTGACTTGACAACTTAAAACGAAGGCTCAGAGAAGTTAAATAATTTGCACAATGACGTTTGGCTGGCAACTAGCAGAACTTAGTTTGGAAGCCCAGTATTTTGTCAAGTCTGTTGTTGAGATGAGTAATCTTTTTTTTTGTACATTGTTTATAGAAATTTAAAATGGAGAAACATAATGAGAGCTACCTCAGTTTATTTAGTGTGATGCTTTCAGCAATGTTAATATTCTAAACCAGTATATTACCTGAATTTATTGTTAAGTTGTTCAAAGAGTTATTAAATGTCCAGTTGCTAATGGACTGAAAATGAATATAAAGATCTTCAGTTATAGGTGAAGGAAATTTTGAGTGGCATTCAGCTTCATAAGGTACTGTTTTGATACTGTAGCACTTCAGCATATCTGGGAAGCTACACGTGGTGATGCTCTCATTTTCTAGTAAATCAGAAAGAATAAAGATTTATTACAGAGAATAAGAATAGTTAACATTTTATGATTATTTTTATCTATAACTTTTTGACATATCTATCTGACATTATTAAAGATACTATAAGAAACGCATATTTGCCTAGCAACACAATGAGGGAATGATGCACATTTCTGTTTATAAAGTTTTATAGATACAGCTTAAATGCAGTATTTGTTTACTGTTTAAAACGTTTGCCATGTTAAAGATTTTATGATTAAGATTGTGGTTACCATGCTCAGGTAGAGCATGGTTTGCAATTAAAGTAGGGCACCTGTTTTCACCTACTCTCTAGGAAGGACTTAAAGAAAAAAATTAGTCTCACGTATTGACTCTGCTAACTTAAACATGAAGTGATAGTATTATCTCACATATATAAAACATTTTTTTCTTCTCTTTTTCCCCCCCGGGGGTGGGGGAAGGAGAGCATCTATTAAGCAATTACTTTTTAGTGTTTCTTCTTGATTCCCTTAAACAGGAATAGTTTCCTTTTCTTTAAAACATTATATGAGAGGTTTTTCTGGGGCAAAACACCAAAAGTTAATCACATTTTGGTTTTGATTAAATTATGAAAACTTACCTAGTATCACATTTGATGTGTTCAACCAGTTTTGCAAATTGAATAGACTACAAGAGCAGTTCCATGGATTTCCATATAAAATTATTGATTCCAGATGAAATAGTAGTGGTACCTCCAAATAGCTTATCAAATTGCCTTGCAGATTCAAAAGTTTCAGGTTTTTTAGAGGCACAAATATATCAGCATTCAGTTGTAATATTTTGTTTTGGCAGAGATACAACTGTTTTAGTTTACTCAAGCCTACAAATGCATCCCGCTGAATTATATAGATGGAGTTTCTACAGATATTTAAAATTTGTAAGTTGGAGAGGTTACCAAAACTGTCATTAAGTAAGATAATGACATTGTTCTGTATCAAATAGAGTTCAGTGAGTAAAAAATACATCTGTAGAGCCCTTATGTCTGTAACATTCAGAGTAATTTGATTATAACTGAGGTCAAGTACTTGAACATCTTCATTAATATCTGCTGGAATTAAAGAGTAATTCTTCTCAGTGAAATTGTATATGATACCCTAAAAAAGAAAAAGATTGCAAATGCATTAATCAGGAAGAATATTAACAGAATTTCCCAAAAATTTCATATCTAAGCACTTAGACATTGGAAGGAAATCATTTTGGAAAAAAAATCTACTATCTAATATTTTGGTGTTATAGTGTGAGAAAGGTAGAAGAAATATTTTTCTTTCTTTATTGGGATGGAATACTAAAGATTAAAGAAATTCTGATACATACAATTGAGCAAAGAAATTCTAGTTTGTTATACAGGTATCATCCAATTGTTATTACATAATCATTACAGAAAGAGTACTGGTATATTCCCATTTATATATGTGGAAATACATGGTAAATAATAATTTTGTTAACTTATTTAATATTTCATTGTGCAAGATTGCATTTATAATGAGGAAATTATTTAAAAATATATCATTTTCAGCAAATTACCCACATTATACCAAAGGCTATTAAATAATTCAGAACTGTTACCCAGTATAAAGCTCAATGGGGTTAATAGCTCAAAGCTTGGTGTTTTATCTTATGGAGGCATGTATTGAATTTAAAGAACTACACAATATGAAGTGCTTTCCTTGTGTGGATGTAGATTGAAAAGAAATAGTTCTTATGACGTGGTTTTTGCAGTTGGAATTTCCCCACAATAATAATAGTAATGCAACAGCAATAACAATTTCTCTTATAAACGTGTGAGTTTTTAAAAAGTTTCATACATTTCTGACTATGGTTTTTGCGTCTTGAAACTAATCTCTGATTTTATAGTGAAAATTTACAAATTTCTCTTTTAATCAACTTTGAAAGAAGTCAGTTTAAAAAAATGAAGGCTGTTTTTGTCAAATTAGGATCTGAATCAGAGTTCACAGATTTTGAATATGCACAGCTAACTAGGAGTTAGTTTTGATAGCTCAGATTTTCTTTGCTTTTTTTTGTTGCCTTGGGATATTTATTAAACATACAGAAAGTGGACCTTTGAAAACATTTTTACTACCTTGATTGTAAAAACTTACTGTTTTAGAAGTCTGGCTTTTGTCTGATAGTAATAGCATGGAGAGGAACCAAAATAAGATCATGATGCATGTGATTTTCATGTCATAGACCTGACAGAAAAGAGAGTATTTTCATCTCAATAGGAGATTAGAACTTTAAAAATTATTAAGAACATTTTGATTTCTGTCTCTCCCCACCCCTTCCCCCTGGCGAACTTTTTTTTTTTTTTTTTTTTTTTGCGCGGCTGACCTGTACAGGGGTCTGAATCCTCATCTTGGTGTTATCAGTACCATGCTCACCCAAATGACCTAACTGGCCAACTCCTTTTTTTCCCTTTTAAATCTATTTTTTGTTAAAATACATAGAACAAGTACATGGCCGTTTACTATCTCTGTACTTTAATCTTAACAAACCAGAAAGCCCCTGTGGAAAATGAGAGACAATATTTTTCTAGGGTATCATTAGTTCCTAGATCTATTGAAAGGAGCTTTAAAGCAATTGAAGTGGTTGTACATTTAAAAATTTTAATATGTAAGTGCACAAAAGAAAGTCCAGAAGAATGTATATATGCAGTTTAAGTACGGTATCTGTTTATATTGCTACTTCTTGGTTTTTCTTTTTTTTTCTAGTTCAGAATTTAGTTTAATTCAATGAAATAAAGCAGCTGAAAATGTATCTCTCATCCACCTTTCTCAAATTCTGATTTTAAAATTTTTTTAAAATTTTTATTGGTTATATGTATTCATGGGGCACAGAGCTGACTGTCAGCACCTGTGCCCAAGATGTGGTGGTCAGATCAATACTGTCAGCATGCCCACCACCTCAGATTGCAGTTATTCCCTGGGTTCCTCACCCAATCTCTCCCCAACCCTCCCTGATCCCCATGATTTTTCAATTTTAGGTGTTATCTATTAGTACTATCCGTTGACTTATAACTGTGAGAAATGAGAACCTTCAGCTCTCTTTCAAATACTCCCTACCTTTATCTCCTACACATCAAATATATATTTCCTGTGTCTTCATCTCCTAACATAGTTAGTTGTAGTTTTGTTTAGATGAATATTCACTGTTTATCACGAATATAGGAAAGTTATTGGTGACTGAGCCATGTAATAGGATTACTTTTCTATTTCCTGCAGTTTTTTTCCTCTAAATTAATTGTACTTTTTTATGTAGTTTTCTGTTTTTTCATGAATTTATGTCCAAATTCTCTCCTAGCAAACTTCTCAGCAGTTTTATGCATATTAGGTATTTAATCTGTTTCACCAGCTTAAAAAAGTCTTTCCTAGATCCTGCTGCCATGCTCTAATCTAGAGGAGCTGATCACCAGGTCTTCTATACAGCTATTGACCATCACAGAAGTTCCCTTATACCTTTGTTACTGGGTTCCTGTTTCATAGAATGCCCTATCTTGGTTTATTGCCTTATTTTGATGGAACTTCCTCAATACCTTCCTGAGAAGGTCCTTAGCAGGGAAATTTTATTAGACCTTGAAAGATATTTTGGCTAGAAATAGAATTCTAGGTAGGAAATAATTTTCCCTCAAAATGTCGATGGCATTGCCCCATTGTTTTGGGGTTCCTAGTGTTACTGTTAAGGATACTGTGATGCTGTGTCATTCTAATTCTTTATCCATTTAGATAACTTGCCTCTTCCTAATCCTAACAACTTTTATAATCAATATCCCAAAATTTCAGGATCCTGTGTGTTCCTGAGAGTCTATTTTTGTCCTTTAAACTGGGTACTTGGTTGGCCATTTCAATCTGAAAGCTGTCCCCCTCAGTTCTGGGAAATTTTCTGAATTATTTCATTGATGATAGTGATGATATTCTTTCTCCATTTTAATTTTTAAAATTTTTAAAAAAATTTTATTTTGTCGATATACAATGTGGTTGATTATTGTGGCCCATTAAGAAACTTCCCACCCTCCTCCCTCTCCCCCCTGCCACCCAACAATGTCCTTTCTGTATGCTTGTCATGTCAACTTCAAGGAATTCTAATTGTTATGTCTTCTCCCCCCCACCGGTTTTTTTTTTTGTGTGTGTGTGTGTGTGTGTGTGTGTGTGTGTGTGTGTGTGTGTGTGTGTGTGAACTTATTTATTTATTTTTATCTCCCACCAATAAGTGACTTTCTCCATTTTTTAAAAAAAAATCTCACTTTTCTTTCTAAAACTGCCTTAATTGTGTGGTGGAATTCCTGGAACGATGTTATAATTTTTTATTTTTAATCTCCTACATTTCATCTCCCTGTGTTTTGCTCTGCTTTCTGGGAGACATCCTTAACTTTATCTTCAGACTCCTCTATTAAAGTTTTCTTTTTCTCATCTTTTTAATTCTAAGAGCTCTTTTTGTTCTCTGCATATTTTCTTTAGTAGTATCTTATTGCATGAATATATTATCTTTTCTTGTTTCTTGTGTATTTTATTGTTTTCTTTTTTCCGGAATAGCATCTGTATCCTCAGGTTGTACTTTTTAAGTTTATTTTGGACAGTGCCTTTTTCTTCATAAGTCTGTTAATATTTTGTTTGGGGCTTATATATGGGTGGGGAATTAAAAAGCTGATTAGAAACTGCCTTTGTGTGGGTCGTAGTGACTCTAGACCTTATGTAGACTGAACTTGCTAGACTGTTTTCTTGGGGAATCCTTAAATATCATTATCTTTAGATCTTTAAATTTGATCTAGTTGGATTTCACAAAATGACTTCTAATCTACTGCCTGAACAGATATGGTCTGGTGGCCAGCATTTTGAGAGCTGAATGGTGAAAAAGGTGGGTTTATGTCAATATTTAGTATGTAAACTTTATCTCAAATTAATCTCAACAGTGCCTTGTGCCCAGTACCCAAATTCACCTTGTTTTATTCTCCTCTGAGAAAAAAAAAATCCTCTAATCTTCTGCTCATGTAGGGGAGAAATATTATCTGGCTGGGCAGATGTGGAAAAAGAAATTAGCACCTCCTCCTCTACTTCCAGAATACCTGGCACTGCCAACTTCTGGATTGTTCAGAGTTTCTGAAGTACAATTCATGTGCCTTTTTAGCTTTTCCTATTGTTAGCTTGGTAAAGTTTTGCTTTCCCAGTCAGTTTCTCTTCAGCCATAAACTTTCTGGTTTCTAGATTTTATTTCTATTGCCCCTTCTTTCATTCTCTTTGTTCTTGTGAATTTATGCCCCTTTTACCTTTTACTTTGATTTTTGTTGGGTTTCAGACAGGTGTCAACGTTAGTGGGTGCATTCAACATGCCATCTTTACCTGGAAATTGCCATTTATTGCTAAATAGGTACTTTCCCTGTAATCATTTTATTTATGACATTAATATTTTTTCTTCTTTACTCTGTTTTCTTAAAGTCAACATTAGATATCCTTCTGCAAACAAATTATTGTTGGAAAGGATATGAATATATCCTGTCATCTTTAGGGGTCTTCTAAAATGTAGTCTTCTGACCATTCTTACAATATTTCTTGCAATTAGTTACTTATGATCTTTTAAGGAAAGTTTATTCCATTAGAGCAGGAAGTAGAAAAGCTAATCTCCATGAGCAAGATTCCTTTCAGGTTACTAAAGTTGTTGCCTCGTTAGGAATGAGGAATTTATTATTTCAGTGCTGGTCTGTTCTAGTCAGCTTCCTCATTGTCTTCAATTTGTTGATCTGTTTATGTTTATTCCCCTTTTACTTTCTCTCTTTCCACGGTTAAATCAAATTTGTTAGAAAAAGCTACTCTGCCTCCTAGATTTTATACAACTTGGATTTACATCTAAAAGAATCACTTTTAGAGCTAGAAATGAGTTCAAGCTATCGCTTATTCCAGACCACTACCCATAGAAAGGGGATGCCTAAATCATTTACAAAAATTAGTTTACCTGTGTTTAATGATCTCTAGGAATAGGTGTGCAGCCTCTTCAGGGACTTGTTTCAGTATTTCTCAGTGGCGTGATCAAGTTCTTACTGATGTCTCTGGTGGGATGCAGAGGTGAGTTAGGAGAGGTAAGTAAGGGAGAAGTGCTATTTTTTCAGAAAAATAAGATAGGGATGGTTAAAGAAAGCAAATAGGCTACAAAGAAAATTAACTGGATCTAAGTAAAGAGTTGATGTGAAATAGAAGCAGTTGAGGAAGATAATGGAGACAAGGTAGGACTTTGAACCCATGCGGAAGTGGAGACAAAGGGTGGTTGTATTTATTATTTTTATTATCTGTATCATCTGTTGAATACTAATAATTGTTTTCTCCAGTGTGCTAAAGAAAATTAAATTATAAGGATTAGAAAAGGAATCTTTTTTTTTCTTTATACCAGATAAATTTTAGAGTTAGAAGCAGTATATGCTTGGTTCAACGTAGATTCTGTACAAGAAAAGGATTCAACAAATCAAAAGCATTATGTCTAGAGCTACGAAATACATTGATTGATCCATACCATCCATGGGGATTTTCACATAGGAGAGGTCTTTAAAAAGTTCATGAAAAGATTAATATTATCTTTTAATTCCACGTTTCCATGAACTTTTTGAAGTATTTGTCTTTTGAGAGGGGAAAGATTAAGAGAGGGGGTGAATGTTTACCATCATAACAATGAATAAATCCCTAGACAAAAACATTTGCTGGATTATTGGCTGTCTTAAATCAGGTTGCAGAATAACTAGCCAGTAGATTATGCAGAAATTGTCCAGGAGTCAGTTTACCCTATTCAAAAAGATGATTTAAAAGAAGACATTATCGTTGCCTTTTTCTCCTTATGAAATCTTTTCTCACTTTGAAATTTACATATTTTGAAATAATATTTGAGTTTCAATATGATGATTACTTAGGAACTAATAAAATATAGAGAACAAAAGGAATATCAGGTTTTTTTTAGTTATTTCACAAAATTGTCTTTTTACATAACCTACAAACTATATTACAGGGAAAAAAAAGCTTTACACTAAAGGAAATGATAGATATTGAAAAAGGAACTATGTTCTTAGTGGAGTTTTGAGTATAAGTTTCTTAGGAGTTTTTGGTTATTTACTTTCTATGATTATTATATGCTATGAAACAAAAAGGTGCTGTAATTATTTGGGTTTTGTTAAATAAAATCTATATGTAATTTTATCATTAAGTATTTTAGATATTTATGCCAGAATTCAGTGTATTTGTGATGTTAATGATTCACAATTAACTTCATTCCTGTACTTAACTATCTTATAGATTTTTGTTGTTGCAAATTTAAAAACTTTTTGTAATAGAAGATTTCAAGGAAAAAAACCTAAGTACAGGAAGGTAGTTATCACCCAGCTTCAGCAGTTATCGACTAGTGCCCAGTCTTTTTTCATCTTGCAAATCTGTTTTAGATTAATGTCATTTCAAAATGTTCTGTTATTAACATATTTTAAAATAAAAAGGTTTTATAAATTTGATTGGCAAGATGAAATCTTTTTTTCAAAAAACAATTACTTTGTATTACACTATAACTTTATTTGGGAAAGATTCTTTGGCCATGTCCCAGCTATATTTATTTCTGGGGTAGACCATGTAAAAATATAATCATATTTTCCACTCTTTCATCACTTATTAAAGGCAAAGATTGTTGTACAGACTTAATAAACTTAAATATGATTTGCTTTTTTACAAAAATTCAACAACCACTACCAAGCCTATAAACATATAGGATCTTACCTTTTTTTCTTTTGTTTCTGAGACTGCTCTGCTAAAGGAATTTATTCTTTCTTCTACACCATTAAAAAAAAGTATGTCATGTGGTTGCATTTCACTTTGTTTTAACCTTTGTACCCAGTGAACAGGTGATTAAAAGAAAAAAAAAAGTAGACTTCCTTAGCAAAAGATTCACTAGAAGAATGATTTCTTAAAGTCATCTTTGACTATTTTAGTGTAACAACGCAGTCTGCTTAACCTTTGTGTTTCCGAATTACTCTTGAAAAATTCATTAAAATATTAACAATTTTATCTTGTGATTTAAAGTGTATAATATTGAGAGTGCATGCTTTTGAAAGATATATTGTTGCCAATGTATTTTGTGTTAGTCCTAAAGGTATTTTGTGTTTAGAATTATTCAAATTGAAAAGATATTATGAAGTTTTATATTCCTTTGAGTTTCAACTTTGTTTACTCATTTTTATGATGCCGTTGGTGGCTTTATTGCCAAGTTATAATAGGAGCAAAGTGCAAAAACATCAAAAGACCTGACACTTGGCCATTATATGATCTTCAGAAAACGAGTTACCTTCCTTGTGCTATAATTTCCCTTCTGTAAAATGGAATACTGTATGTCATTAGTTTCAGTTTAACTACAATAGATACAGCAGGAAGAAACATTGTTGGTAGTGAATAATCATAGAATTTACTATGAATTAATTCCAAAAGATGAACTCCTCTGGTCTTCAGTATCCTTAATCTATGAAATAAAGAGATTGAAATAGGTGATATTCTCTTCTTGAAAGTTCGGTGAACCCATATACCCATATAAATTGTAGCATCAGCAAACACACTGGTTATACAGTAGTAATTGAGGTTCAACGAGAAGGTGTCACTCCCTGTCCAACAATGAGACCAAAATAAATTGAAATTCCAGGTTGTCCGTTACATTATGTTCATCTTTAATTTGGTTATTATGAGATGTTTGCAGGTAAATTTCTGAGTTTAGGTTATTTATTATAGTAGTAGGATTTGAGTGTGGAGGGGATATATAGCTCAATAGGGCTTAGCTGGTGATTGTGAAAACAGTAGAAATTGATATCTAGGAGTGAATTAGAATAAATACTGGTAGATTAATCAGATTTTGAAACCCAAAATAGATATTTATGGCCTTGAGACTGAAAATTTATGTTCAGTAAAGATTTTTATATGTAAATTTTGAAGGATTTACATAAGTGGCATCTCATCTATTATTTTTTCAGAATTTTTATCCTATCAATAATTGACCTTGCATAGGAAATAAGTAGGACATTGTTGGCATTTCTTGTAATTATATGCTAAAGATGGTTATTGCTTCCAATAATTTCACAGTTATTACTTTTATATTTGTAATGTTTCAGTTATGTTTTTAGAGAAATTAGCTTATTATTTTACAATGCTAAAATATAGCAGTAATTTGTGAAATAACTATTTAAAGTAGTAGGTAAAAGAAAATTTAAGCAAAGCGTATTCTTAATCTAAAGCTATGATTTTTTAAAAAAAATTAAATCACACTACAGTTCTTCATATTCTCCAGTTCAGTCAGAGTTGTATTGCTTTATATGATTTATATGGCAGACCTCCATACATGATTTCAGTTGATTGAAGAATTCTTCCGTAACTAAAGGATGTTTGAAAATTACTGTTTTAAAACTTAACTGTCTTATTTGTCTTTTGAGGGTATGATAACAAAGCATAAGTGCATCCTCATATGTAAAAGGCCTTCAAGGTTTTCTGTGATAATCTGTGTGTTTTCTTAATAAAGTAAAATGGACAGTAAGGAAATAGAAGAATTTGGGGATGGAGAAGAGAAAGATATAAAATAAGTTTGTGCTGATGGGATCAAATTATATATAGGTCAAATAAAATTTTTTATGTACACTTATAAGGACTTTTCAGTCACACACTGTGGTTGTTATTTCTTTAAGTACCCTATTAAATTGAGACAGTGACCTGAGTAAAATTATTCTATTATTTTTTCATCAATAATGCTTTTTATTTTAGGAAAGAAAACCAAATTAGAAGTGTCGAAGAAGAAATTGGACAGGAAAAACAAGCAGCAGATAGCATTATCAAAAATATGTCTTCCGAAAAACAACTTGAGTATATAGAGATGAAAACCACAAATGAGAAATTGTTGCAGGTAATAGTAATTACTACTATATGTCAGGTATATAGCAATCTTGATAATAAACGTATGATCTGAAGATTCATAGAATCCCCTGAGAGCTTGACTAGACCTATTGATTAGAGTCTTCATTTTCACAAGGTTCCCAGCTGATTCATGTGGATATTGAAATTTGAGACACACTTATCTAGAAAACCTCATTTTCTTTTTTTCTTTTCTTTTTTTTTTTTGTCTTTTTTCGTGACTGGTAAGGGGATCGCAACCCTTGGCTTGGTGTTGCCCCCACTGCGCTCAGCCAGTGAGCTCACTGGCCATCCCTATATAGGATCTGAACCCGCGGCCGGAGCGTCGCTGCGCTCCCAGCATCGCACTTTCCCAAGTGCGCCACGGGGCCGGCCCGAAAACCTCATTTTCTTATGCTGCTTGATGACCTAGCTTTTACTATATCATTTGTTCAGTTCTATGCATCCTTCATTTTTGCATGTCATAAAGATACATGAAAACACTTGCATTTTTATGGACTTTTAATAGAAACGTTAAAAAGCCTCATAGACCAGAGCCATATTTATATTTACTTTCTTTCCTTTTCCTTCCTGCCTAATAAGTAGCAAACATTTTACCTGCTATGACCCTGATTTGAATGACTATTGTCCCTTAATCATGTTTTTTTTTTCCTTTAAATTTTTATTTTGTCAATATACAATATAGTTGATTATTATGGCCCATACAGAAACCTCCCTCCCTCCTCCCACCCAAGAATGTCCTTTCCATTTGCTTGTTGTAACAACTTCAAAAAATTGTAGTTGTTGGGCCGGCCCGGTGGCGCACTGCTACAGTGTGCCGCTTGGGAGTGTGGCGGCGCTCCCGCCGAGGGCTCGGATCCCACATACAGACCAGCCGCTCACTGGCTGAGTGAGGTGCGGGCGCAACACCGAGGGTTGCGATCCCGTTGCCGGTCCCGGTCCGGTCCGGGCGCGACACTGAGGGTTGCAATCCGTTGCCGGTCAAGAAAAAAGACAAAAAGGAAAAAAAAAATTGTAGTTGTTATATCTTCTTCCCCCCCCCGCCCCGGTTTTTGTGTGTGTGTGTATGTGAGTGAATTTATTTATTTATTTTTAGCTCCCACCAATAAGTGAGAACATG